GATTCAAAAACAGTTTTCGCTTCCCATTCACCTATCTCTAGCAATGTCTCTGAGTCGAAGCCTTTAAAATAAGATAGGTAAATCAAATTATGACAAACGTATGAGAAGTTTCAATGATAATCATAAAAGAACATAGTAAGTCAAAAATGATGACTATTTAATATACGTTTGGTGATAAAACTAGTATAGTAATAATATAATTTTAATTGTTTCAAAAAATTTTTATCGCTATTTTTTAAAATTACTGTATTTTTTGTAAGCTTTTTTTCATGATATTGTTAAAATTTCAAATTTTGTCTTTGCAATGTTAAAATTTTTTTTAATTTAAAACTTTTTTGGAATTCCGCATTTCTCCACATTCCATGTTAAAGCGACCTTACATGCATGTTTCGTAGTTCTTTTGAAAGTATTTAAATTCGCGTTTAAGTGGCCCTGAAGAAGCTGGATGGGGGGGGGGGGGGGCTTGACGCATCTCCGGAAAAAGTCGAGAAATTAGTGCGCGAGAATGGTCACTCGGTAAAAAAGCGAAAGTCGCATAAAAATGAACACTTTCCGGCCGTTTAAGGAAGCGCGGGAATTTCGGCGGCCACAAGATTTTATAGATTTCACTAATCCTTAATTTTTGACATTGTGGTAGTAGGGGAGGGGGGAAGGGTGTAGGCTGGGGAAGGGGGTGGGATAGGAGAGGGAAAAACACAGTTTTAAAAATTTTTCAATTTTTTTTTACCATACCTTTCCTTAACCTCTTCTCCCCTCATTTTCTCCCCTCCCCTCTCCACCTTTTACCTTACCCTTATTACCCTTCTCACATAAATTCCTCCCCTCCTCGACTGTTCTTTTACCATTTTTACCCCCCTCTACAGAACTCCTCCCTCTCCCCTTCCCCCCCCAGCCACTTTCACCTAAACCTTAAAAAACCACCGTATATACATATTTTTTGCAGACATGTTCTAAACCGCTCTCCCCTCCCTCTCCCATCTCTTAAACCTTTTTTACAGAGTATTTTCGAAAAAAATTGAATTGCCAACTTTTTCCTATACGACGAGTTTTTTGTTTGTTCAGGAGAATTGATTGGGGAAGAGCGACAGGGGAATATGTTTCGCATAATGGCCTTATAGACTTCACTTATCTTTTTATTGCTGACGTAACAACACGATATGTTGCCTTAGGCTTTGTAGGGGAGGAGGGGGAGATGTAGCTTGATCTGGCGGGTTATTTTGGGATTTTAAGTAACAAAAGTAAAAAAAAGTTACAGTAAAAATTTTTTTAGCTGAATGGTTAAAAATATGTATTATGCAGTACCAGGGACGAAAATAAAGGACACTAGTACTAAGATAGTACTACTACTTTTCTACTAATACTAATGTATTACTATGGTGATGCTATTACGTTTATACTAATGTAATAGTACTACTTTTCATACAATACCGTTTTTCTGAAAAAAAAGTACTTAACTAGCACTAACAGTACTAAAACAGTATCAAAAAGCCCCAATAACTTTCAAATTCCAAAAGTTTTTAAAAAATTTAAACCATGTTACTATTAGTTATTTTAGTCCTGTGGAAAACATTAATATCGTGTCTCGAACCTTTTCGCCACTCGGTTTTTATATTTTTTGATGATTTTTGAGTGTTTGTGGCCAATAAAACTCTTTTTTTCGCGTTTGAAATCCCGCCAAAACGTAAAAACGTGGATATTAAAAGTTTTTGAAGAACAGGTCATCATTCTGTCGCCGAGCATCATACTCAAAATAGTGCTTAGATTTTTAAGTTTGAAAAAGAGGGAGGAGTAAGGGCTTTAGAGGTGTTTTTTTGATTACATTGGGTTGTTCAAATAATTCTGTGCCTTATAACTTCAAAAATTTGGCTTGAAAAGAACTCAGGATGATTTGAACAACTTAGTAGGAAAAAGGGCAAGGGAGGGTACAATTAATTTTAATGGTTTAAACATAAAATATTGGCATGGGAAGGTATGTAAGGGTATGCTATAACAAAGTAAAAGTAAATTTTTTTATTTTTAAAATTTGAAATTTACGAAAATATAAACGTACATTTGTGTAACAACATTGTAACATCAATTTTCAATTTTATTTTTACCGTTTTTATACTAAACCTAGTATAACTTTGTAGGCTTAACTAAATAGTCCATAAGCCTCACTAATCATCATTCATAATCCAATACCTTGATATGAATTTGCTTTGGCTACAGTGGCTACGACGTTAAGCAATACTACTTCATAGTACTAGTCAACCCTGGTTTTACTAGTACTTTTGTTATTGTATCTTGATAGTACGAACAATTGTGCTGATAAGATACTACAATACAGTATAACCACTCCTACTTATACTGCCATCTTTTTGAATCATCATTTTGGGCCGTCCGCACCGTACCCAAAAAGTTGGTTCAAAAAGCACCGCCCCATCTACCCCGCCCGTTCCGATCTTAACGGGCCAAAATTTCGGGAAGATACGAAGAGCATCATCACAAGTCGTCGCTCAACCCCAACCCCCACCACTACCAATCGTTTCGGCGGCGGAGTTCGGCCTACGGCGGGGCCGCGGCCGGCCCCATTGTCCCGGCCCCGAGACCATTCGTACCATTAATCAGTAAGCTTCTTGGTGCACCGCCGCCGTCACAGCCCCCGGAGCTTCGTCTCCGCTACGGGTTTCTGAACGCCGCCAACGCCGGACCCAAGGTTCAGCTACGACAAGGGGTTGGGAGTGGGACAGCTGGTTCGAATCGAGCGCGGCCACAGTCGCTCGGAGGCTACGGAAGGGTAATTTTGGGGGTGTTTGGGTTGAAATTTTCAACTTGAAAATTTCAGGTTAATTAAAAATATTTTTAAAAATGTTTAAAAAATTATACGAAGTTTCACCACAAGTTTTTAAACCAAACATTACTAAAACATAAAAATCATGGTAACGATAGTATGAAAAAACTTGAAAAACAATAAAAGTACGCCTTGGGCATAAATGTTTTATGTCATAAAGGTTGCCCATAAAAGTGTTGTTTAATAGACAAGTATAAGCAAGCAAAGTGTGTATGTACGTAACAAAAAAAAGTTATTTTAAAATTAATTTTAGTGTAAAATACGTCTTTCGTATTGCTTCCAATTAAAATTTTAAAAATTTTGAGAATTGTCTATTATTGAAATTTATGACATATACGATTTGACATATATATATCTCTACAGATCTTGTTATAAAGCTTATGATAAGATACGTAAATATATATTATTATAAGATATATGGGCTTTGTGAAGTTCATCTTTTTATATTGTATTTACTGTGTAAAGCTCATCTTTTTATATAGTAAAGACTGTAGTAACTAGCATCTATCATAGCATCATATCTTTGCTTGTCACATACTATATAGTATCATATCTTTTCTTGTAATATACTATATAGTATCATACCTTTTCTTCTCATTACATTGTACTCTTACCATCAATCCTCTTCTTACTCTAATGCCACTTTTAATCAACTCTGCTTATAAAAACCGTATTTTAGCGCACACCGCTAGAAAAAGCAAGACATTTGGACAATCTGCCTGCATATCAGGTAAGGTAGTACTTGTGGGATTCTAAAACACCCTACTACGCTTTTGCTTCGTTTTTTTTGACAATTTGGGTTTTTTGTTTTGCTTTTTTTGATTTTTGTTAGATTTTTAAATGTTTTTGGACTTTTGGGGTTTTATTTGATATATTTTGACTATCAGCGTTATATTTGATAGTTTTGGATTTTTAGAGTTTTATTTGACAGTTTTAGACTAGGCTTGTTTAATATAAGCTAGATGATTACTTTATGGCGTTTATGCAAATTAAAAGTTGATAAGAAAAAAAGAAAAAAGTTAAACTACTATACGTATTTTACATTTCTCTATCAAATTAGATGTTTATTAAGTTGTACAGCTAATTCTGAGCTCCTCTCAAAGAAACTTTTGGGGGTTTGGTAGCTCAGAATTATTTGAAACACCAAATAAGTATTATAAATTTAGATTGATAACTCAGCCTAGAAGCTTAAAATGTTATTTTTAACCCTTCTAGCTTGAGCCTCAACTAAATCTGTCTATTATTAAAAATTTTTGAAAATTAAAAAATTTTTTAAAATTTTGAAAATTTTAAAAACTTAAATTTTAAAAATTTTTAAATTTTAATCATTTTCCTATCAACTTTACTTCAATATATTGTTATATACTTGCAACTTTCTATAGTGTTTGCGGCTCTCAGTTTTTTTTTCGTTCGGCCGCGCCAAAAATATATTCGAAAAGGGCAAAACGAAAAAGTGCGTATTACTTTGCCAATATATATAAACATAGAGCAGATTGAATATCCATTTCACCTTTCATCAAAATTTTCACCAAAAAAAGGTTGGACATTCGTTGTTTTTGGTTTGAAATGGCACAACTTTGGGTTTGAAGGCTTGAAAATTAGGAATTTTGTTAGTGGTACTATTGGTACAGCTACTAAAAAGAAAATTTTCTTTGTTGGTAAGGTTTCAAAAAAAAAGACTTAAGTTTTATTGGCGTTATAAAAATATTGTAAACAAAATTTTAAGCTTTTGGGCGTATTTTACAATCTAAAACAACATAACGCTACCCTTTTCTACCATATTTCTATCATAACACCTACTTTGACGCTACTGCCACTATTATATCTACCGAAAAAAATATAAAACCTTCCTACAACTACTATTCTCACCAACATTTCTCAATGGTAAGCTACTCAACTGTACTTAAACTTTTCTAAGTCTACCTAAACCTACCTAATTCTACTTAAATTTGCTTAAACCTACCCTAATCAAACCTACTCACATCTACTCAACTCTACATAAACCTACCAAAACCTACCTAAACCTACTCTAAAATCTAATAACGTATTACAACGTCAAAACTTTTCACCTCGCCATTAATAGCAACAATAGCAGGCCTATTGTCATGTAATGGAAGGGCGGGTTACTTCGTGATAAGTAATCCTGGCGCCACAAATCCAGTGAAATGTAATGTCGGATGTGCCGTATGGTGAGAAAGGCAAGGTTGGAGAAGGTGAACGTTCTATTAAATGTTCCGAAAGGCCTGAAACTATTGCGGCCGCACAAGGTAAGCGCTTTTTATACTATAGTAAGAAGTTTCTCATGTTTGGAAAATATTTTTTGCTCAGGAGAGTGGTTTTGCTATAATTAAATCTGGAGAAAGTGCAAATTTTTAGAAAACATTCAAAAAAATTTTTTAATGCCATTTTTTTTAATTTCTAAATAAAAACTAAATTTTAAAATACCAAATTACTAAACATTTACTTTCAGATACAACTCATCAAAGTCTACATACAAAACAACCCGTTTCTATTGCGCAAAGTGTACCTTTATACCTAAAGGTACCCACTACAACGTCATCAATAACAAGAACTCGACCATCTTCAGTACGGCTCAGAATTCTTCAAAAACCAACTACAACTTCTACACTCAGTCCTACAACATCATCATCGTTAGTTTCACCCTTCACTTCTTCAGGAAAAACTTTACCTACAACATCTGCAGCTTCAGGCTTTCCTACTACTTCTACAGCTTTGGACACACCTACTACTCCACCAGTACACCAGCTGACTGAAGTTATAATTCATCTACAGTCAAACCCCCACGATTCAGTCGCGATTCAACCATCACTTTTACCAAAAAAAGTTCAATCATCGCAAGAGTTGGCTCCAGAACAAAGGAAAAGACTTGACTCGGCTGAGAGAAAACTTGGCACTTCAACAAGCCCCGTTTTCTACAGAAGTCGGCCTAGAGCTGCGACTGATCCTTATAAAGTTAAACCCATCATATCGCTTGACTTGGAAGATCTTAAAGGTAGCCGAGATTCTGAAGGCAAAGAAGAAGGTTTAAAGAGTCTTTCTGGAGCTTATCGTAACATATCAGGTTCAGAAGGTAATACGAATATTGATAAAGGTTTTACTGAATCTCACAAATTTAACACGGAAGAGAAAAAGTGCTCAGACAATCAGTACCAGCCTTCAGAAGCCCATAACAAAACCAGAAGGCCAACTTTAGAACAAATCGACCCATTCCAACACATTTCAATCGACATTCCTGAGGAGAACGGTGATTCACGTCAATTTACTCGGCGTAAAAACCCAAACGACGATTCAGAAGCCTACCGTGAGAAACCGCCTCAAAAGCTCTCAAAACCTCAACTTTACGGTAATCGACCAGTCGATGTTACTTCTGTTCAAAGTATCAACCCAGAAGAGCTACTACATCGTCAAGTAGAAAGTTCTGAGCCTGAAAAACTTCAAATATTAAAACCTCCACCCTATCAGAATCCCACACCGTGGCTACAAGTGACTCCAGTCAGTGATTCTGATTCAATAACTGAAGCGGAATCTGACATTGAAAAGTTTTTGGAAAACCTTGCTAACTCCAGAAGGCCGTCAAATTTGTCGAGTTTCGAGAATTCACGGCCATCAACGTTCTCTTACTTGAAGCCGGCTCATCGTTCCGAATCTGTATCGCCAAGTTTATCTACACAGTCACGGAGGATTCTTAAGGATTCTGGAGACAAAAAGAGGAAACAAAGAAGTGTTAGTGTAGCTAGTTACAGTACTAGAAGAAGAGTTAGTACTACTCCGACTACTTTTTCACTACCGACTAACCTTAGGAAACAAAGTGTCGCGGTTGAAAGTGAGAAAGAAGGTGAAGATAAAGAGGTAAGGGTAAGCTAAAAAGAGATAAAGAGTAAACATAAAGATAAAGTAGGATAAAAGAAGATAGTAAGGTAAGTGTAGAGTAAAATACGCAAATCTTGACTGTTATTTTATAAGATATAATAAGATAGCCTAAGATTCAACCTAAGGCAAAAATTTTTAAAAAAGCTCAAAATTTTAAATTTAAAAAAAAATTTTAAATACCAAAATTTAAAAATCACCTCAAACTTACGATTATATCATCCTTTTCCTTGTTTTCCAAGCCAAATGCCCTGCGGTTAAAAAACTTAGCGAGTCATAAAACCGTTGAAAGTTGACAAGTGCTCAAAAATCCTTTGCATATCAATTCTCGTCTCTGCCGTGTGTGTCTCATGCTAAATCGCCTTTTTTCTCTTAGTGAACTCACGAAAGTGAAAATCTGTGACATTTCTACTTTCACTTCCAATGTTTTGACCACAATGACGATATTATAGTAGACACGGCCATTTTAATTGGCGATTTCGTGTTTAATGTGGACTGTGACTGCTTCACGATACGTGAGTTCATTATAGTAAAGGGTTTTTGAGGTGGGTTAGATAAAACTTTGATAGTCAGTCGTAGAGGTAGGTCGTATAGCAACTAGTATGATAGATCCCAAAATTTTGGCCCTAAAAGTTTCTGGCTCTCTCGTAGGTTACCCATATAATATTGGGTTGTTCAAATAGTTTTGTGCTTCCATACTCTAAAAATTAGCTTTGAAAGAGAGCACAGAATTAATTTAACAACCTAATAATATGTTATGTCACCTGGTATATTATAGTTGATTTTTGAGACTTTTAGGTAATACTTGTAGTTTAAAATTGTCTGGATCAATGAAGTTTTTAGCTTGAAAAACCACAATTTTTTGTTGGTACGTCTAATAAAATTTAAAAAATTTTAATTTTTGAAATTTCGAAAAATTTTTTACTGTTTGTTTTACTAAACTTTTTAAATTTTATGTAACTTTTGGTCTAAAATTCTAAAGCCTTTCTTTATAACAATATAAAAAAGCACTTGGTATGTTCTTAAGCGTCAAGACATTATGTCCTCTCTTATGATTGTCTTGTCATTAAAATGTAAAAACATAAAAAAGGGAATTTTTCAAAATGGCGTGGTAAATCTTCCATTGTTTTGTTTGTTAAAAGAATTTTTAACATTTTTAAAAAATTTTTAACGTTTTTAAAAGGACTATAGTATATTAAATTAAGTTAAAGTTTTATGTACAGCAACAGTGGCTTGTATTTTATCAAATTGTCCAAACATGTAATATCGGCCTTTCAAAACAAACAACTTTGATTTTTAAAGTATTAGGTGCCGACATAAAGAACCCGCCATACTTAGCCAGTGATTTTTTGTAAAAACATGGCGGGTTCTTTCTGTCGGCATCTAAAATTATACTAAACATCATATCGTATCATTAAAATGCATTTTTAGTTTTTTACCTAAAAATTTTTAAATTAAAAAAAAAACTAAATTGAAAGTCAATTTACAGTAGTATAACTCCAAGAACAGTTATAAATTGAAGTAGAACGTTATTTGAGCATAATTGTTGTTACATAAATCATAGCCATATACGGCTAATTTCTCATGAGTTATAGGTTTACAAGTGCATAATATAAATCAAATTTTTAGAATAAAGAGGAAGTGACAGGAGTTTATAAGGTTTACACAAGCTTTTTAGACTTTTTTTCAAATATTATATTGTCTAAAAAAGGATGAGCTAAATTTTTTGCAACTTAAAAAAAGAGTAGTGCCGTTTTTTTAGAATATTTTATAAAAGCTACGTTGCGTTCCATTGATATTATAGGGTTAATGAATATGGTATTTTTAAAAACCAGTTGCTTACTTTGAAAAGCTCATTCATATTTGGACAACTTAATATACAGGGTGGGCCGAAAGTTCTGTTACACGATTTTTGTAATTTTTGACTTTTACATTTAAAGTCGTTTTGTTACCTAAATTTAGTTTTTTAGTACGTTTTTACTATAAAATTTTTTAAAAATTTTTGAAAATTTTTTATTTTCGAAAAATTTTAATTTACAAACTTCATTAATCGCTTAACCTCTCAATCACAGCCTCACAACCTTTTGCATTCCAAGCCAAATTCGACTCAAATTGAAACGTCAGTTACAATTTGATGTAAGCCAAGAAATTATTCTCTCATTTAAGGGGGGGGCGAGAAAAGGATCCGTGGAAAATTTTTGAGAGAAAAGATTTACCGCGCCATTTCGGCCTTCATTCTCATGCGCTTTGTGTAATTTATGGCCGACGAGGAGGTAAGATTCATAATTTCGTACAAGGGCTATTAGTTTTGGCACAGTTACAGTATACCGCGAGATGACGTTTGGTTAGGAGTTTTGAGGGTGTGAGTTTGATTTTGAGGACGAAATTTTGAAATTATTGATTTTTAAGATCAAAACTTGAACAATAGTGAAACTCCTGTATAACGAAGCGCTCAGAGATTTTAAAATTATTCATTATGTGGGGTTTTTGTTATTAAAGAGCCTTGATACATATCAGTTTTTCTGTGGCAATAGTTAAAATCTTGGTGGCGAATAGTAATAATTTTTTAAGATCAGTTACTTTATGTCAGTACTTTTGTATTATTTAAGGCTAAGGCGGCCTATAATGTATACTAAGCATTTTTTTAAGTTTTAGCAATTTCAAGTTTGACAACAAAGTTTTGTCGTCAATTTACGTTGATTTCTAGACATAAAAACGGCTAAACTTTTTAACACTTTTTATATTTAAAAAATGAAAATTGAACTTAAAATTACATAAGCTACTGTATTTTTTATACCATTTAACAGTACTCGTATTTTACAATTTTAAACGAACCCTTAAGATTTGAAAATAAAAAAAAGAACAAAAGTGGATTACTCATGTTGTTAGCTCATAAGGCATACATCTTCTATGTAATTAATTGGTTTTTATTTTATGAGTTATCTAATAGGACAAGATGGATAACAAAGACGTTTTTCTGCTTTTATAAAGCTTTTGTCTTAAATTTAAAAAAAATTTTTTTTTTAATTTTTAAATTTTTTTGCAAGTTTTGAAAATGTCATATTAAACGTTCCAAATATAAGCTTTCAAAGCAATCAATTTCAAAAAAAAAATTTATGGTTTATTTATATTTGGAACACCTAATATGACATTTAAAACTTTTTTAAAAAAGTCTTGTCGTCAATTTATTGTCGTTTACACGGTTAAAAACAACAAGACTTTTTTAAAGGCCAAAATATCTTCAAAATCAAAGTGCATTTCAAAAATTTTAATAACCTATTAAAAACTTTTAAGTTTAGGAAGTTAAAGCTGTCTTAAAAGATTTGCATAAAATTAAAATTTGCTCGGGTTCATTATACGCTTTGGCAGTGCATTAAAAGTCGTTGACAGCACTATAATGAAACAACTTTCGAAGCCAAAAGGAGAGGAGCCAAAGCTGGGAAAATTGCTTGACATTTTGAAGGGTCAAATGACATCAAGTGGGTGGGGGTGGCTTTTTTATGCAAAGTTTTTTTTTAATTAAAAGAAATATTTTTTAAAAAAATTAAATTTATAACTTTTGTAACGAATTGTGTAGCAACTTTGTAAATTGTTTGGAAGTTTATGACATTTTTTATATTACGTACTTTAATAATAAGTATTTGCTTTCTTAGTATGTTACATATTAGTACATATAGACTATATTATACAGAAAGTAATTGTTGTTCCTAAAAAGCTTTAGTTACTATGTCAATTCTTCCCACGTATACACGGATATACCTTCACAAAGTGGGGTTATAGTACGTAAGGTCTACAATTCTTAGTAAATTTTTTCTACAACCTTTTGCAAAAAAAGCTGTCTGGGTTAAACCTTTCTTTGATTTGGCATTTTTTTAATTAAAAAATTTTAACATTTTGTAGGTTCATGTCTAAAAAAATAAAAATTTTACTGTAATTTCTAGTTGTTTTCTTAAAATGACAGTGCGTTTCCTACATTTTCATTGTAATTTATATTTAAATCTTACGAAAAAAAAGTTTTGTAAAATACGACGTAAAATTAATAGTTTTTAATTTTTATTATAGTTGTGAGAATGTTTTAAAAGGTTCGTCTTCAGTTTGCAACACTTGCAACTTTTAAAAGCGACAACACTTTTTTGACTTAAAACACTAATAACGCCTACAATAAAAATACAGTGTAACGACGTCTTCTATAAAAAATCGTTTGTGAATTTAAAATTTGTTTCTTATGAAAGAGTTTCGGCATAGACAAGTTCGTTATACTAAGTTTCAGTGGTTATTACACTACGCTTTCAAGCCTAATGTTTTACTTTTAAACAGTAAGAAGAGATGGTGTAAGCGGACTGTTATAAAAAGACCTTATACTTTATTTTTAAAAGAACTTTTGAAAGTACATCGTATTTTACAAAAACTATTATAAATTGCTTAGTAATATGCCTTTTATTATAATTTTTTATCCCTAACCCTAAATAATCTTAAAAGACCGTGTAACTTTTGTATAACGAACTGTTTCCTTATAACGAACAAATTTCAAATCAAACAATTCACATTGAATTCATAACTTCTGTATACCGAAATCACTTTATAACGATCAAACTTCAAATCTTCAGCTGTTTGTTATACAGGATATTCACTGTACCAAAACCTATGTCTGTTTTAAAACCTATGTCTATCTTTCCAAAACCAACGCTATATTTTGAGTTTGCTTTTGAATTGTCGTATACGAGCTGAACAACAAAAGAGGGGCATAAATAGAAGCAGATTCCACGTTAGTGAACTCTCCTCCGCCCGGAAACACGCTCCATGAATCGGGCCCCAAATTGATGGTTTGCAAGGATAAGAAGAATAAACGGCCTAAGGGGATGAAAGGGCACCCTCATCACACCATCAGATTTTATTTTGTCGTTTTGAGACTGAGGAATGGGTTTTTTATTTGCGGGTTCAAATGGCTGTTTTTCGAGTAATTTTATAATTAAAAGGGTATGGATGAACTTGAGTTATGAGTTGCGTAACTTGGGTTATATGTTGGGTTTGCTTTGTCATATCTGATTTATAAAAGCTGAACTTTTAAAGTTTTGGATTTTTTAAAAATTTCAAAAAATTGCATTTTGAGGTGTTAAACATACTGCTTTTTATCTTTAGCTTTATCTGTTTGTCATTGTCAATGTATATGCCAAAAAATGTTTTTTTTACTTCAAAATGAAAAAATAATTTCTAAAATTTAAAAAATTTTTTAAATTTAAAAATTAATTTTTCGTTTTTAAAATTAATGCTTATAGTAATAAATGTCTTTATGTCATCCTCTGTTTCTTATAAAATTAAATTTTTATCTTACGTACATACTCACGTTTTGTTTATACTGTACTTACTACAACTTAAAATTCGTAAAACTACTGTTGAATTGCCAGAAAATGCCCCAGAAATCAACTGAAGGCATTTTCGAGTGATATCAAAATGAGTTATGGTGGTAGGTTGATGGCACAATAAAAAGTTTTAAAAAAATATTTAAAAAATGAAAATATAGAATACTGTAGTTTCTACTGCAAAATTGAGGTGAAAGTAGAAAATGAAACTAATTTCTTGCTAGTTTTTAACTAAAAACAGTACTGAAATAGTACAGCTTTAGCCATTTATAGTAGCGGAGCACTCTTTTTATAAAAATTACAGTAAAAAATAGATCTTGAAGTTACTGTATGAGAGGACAAAGTAACATTTTTGAAATTTAGCTACTGTAAGATTCAAAACTACTAATACTAAGTCTACTACTAACAATATAATCCAGTATTAGCAATACTAATCGTTTGTTTTAGGCTCACAAACTACTCGACGGTTCACACCAGCTCCGCATCGACGGGCATCACGTCGGAGCCGCCGGTCACGGCGGAGGTGAGTTTAATTATAATTTTTTTCAACACAAATAGGACAGTACTAAGTCTTGCTACTATTAGTGCAATCTCGATCAAACATAATACTCGTATTTTACATTTTCTAAAAATAAAATTTGGTCCCACCACGATTGTTTGATTTTTAAAAATTAGTCAAAATTCGCTTCGAAATCGCTTTAAGATAGTAAAATACGGCCGGCGGTACATTTATTTTGTTATAAAAAAGTTGCAATACTAAAAAATCTAGTAACATGTTGTTGTAGTAGACATGTCTAGTCATTTTCGACAAGATTTGGTATAAATAATTCAGTAACACGCAATTTTATGCCAAAACAATGCCTTTAACTACCTGCACATTATCCGCGAATTATTCCGAATCTAAATCTACGTCAACTATATTCGCACTAATTAGTATTATGACTAAAAGTGGCAACTTAAACTTATATTGTTTTACGCTTTATTAGGTCAAAAAGCGGTTTATTTTAGACTGTTTGGTTCTAAGTTACATTGTTTTAGGCATTCTATGCTTCAACCTGAATTTTTCGAGCTAAAAAGTATTATTTTATACCAAAAAGGCTAAAAAACTACAATGACCTTAATTTTGGTACCTACTACAATATAATTCTATGATTTTGCTAATTTTAATTCCCTAAAAACCAAAAAGTTATTTTTAAAATAAAGTCCTTAGTATTATATGATATTTTTTAACCCAACATACCAATCCGGCGACGTTTTAGGCCACGGCCACAAGAAGGAATTTGGTCCGGCCATGATTCTGTACTACCTCGCATCGGCGTTTCGCGCCCTATACCCTCGGTTAGATGACGATTTTGTGGACAAACTTAACTATTACTACACAACAACGATATGTAAGTTTATATTGAGCGTTTTTCTTGTTAGTACTAGTACCACTTTTACGAATAGTACTGAATATCTGACCTTTAGTTCTTTTGTATTGAAAATTTGTCTTTAGTACTTATTTATAAAAAAACAGGCTTGTTGGTACTATGTTTAGTATTTTTAGACAAGTAGTACTAAAAGTTTGCAAAATGACTTCGGTGGTATCACTTCGTACCAAAAAGTCAAAACAGTACCAGTTGCACAAAATTTATTTTTTATAGTAACATTTAGATTATTGCGGCCCTAATAGTCGTTCTTGGCTAAAATTATTTATGCTAGTACTATTTTTGTATAAAAACGTACTATTTTTACAAAACAGTACTATTTTTTCATAAATCAATTCGGTTCAAAAAGAGCACCATTTTCCTTTAATAAATACTAATTTTTCAAAAACCAGTCTAAATAGCACCATTTCATCCGCCTCTTATTTCAGTAGCATCATTTGCCTTATTAGTATCAGCCAAACAGTACGTGGGGTTCCCGATTCAATGCTGGGTGCCCGCCACCTTCACCGATGCTATGGAACAGTACACAGAGAACTATTGTTGGGTACAGAACACGTACTGGGTACCAATGATGGAAGAAATACCACAAGAAGTGTACAATAGGAGGAATCGACAGATTGGGTACTATCAATGGGTACCATTCATACTGGCGATTCAAGCCTTATTCTTCTACATTCCATGCATTCTGTGGAGGGGGTTACTGTATTGGCATTCAGGTAAGAGTTTTTTAAAAAATTGCTTGTTAGGGTGGTATGAATGTTAAGTACAAAATAGCTTATCAAATTTAAGTACTATATTGCTTTAAAATGTACAATACGGCCCCGACATCTAACCGATGTAACTTTTTATTTATAATATTGATAACAAAAAGAATTTGAAAAAAAATATTTTTAGGTATAAACCTACAAGGCTTAGTCCAAATGGCTTGCGATGCCCGTCTCATGGACCAAGATGTAAAATCCAGAACAGTTTTTACCATGGCTAGACATATGCAAGATGAAGTTCAGGTAAGCTAGCTTTATTCATATTATCTTGACGCGTCTTCTTATCAGTAAACTATTTTTAAAACTTTTCTAAATATTGGTATATACGATGCAGATATAATGGCTAAGAGGGATAAACGGGCCACTTAGACCAATCCCGACCTAGGATCGATTCAGGCTGGCCTTTAGTTAGAGTTGAAACGAAATAGGCTTGAAAGTTGGCCCGAGCCTACTTTTCAAGCCCGGCTCGGAGATTTGAAAATAAAACTTTAAACTGGCCACCTCTAGAACTTTTTCACCGGTCCAGGCCGGCTTGAGAAAGAATAAAAATGGATCGGGTCTAACCGTTAGACCCTGCCTGGGCCAGAGCCGGGCCCGTTCCACATCCCTAATAATCACAATAACAATACAATATAAAGACGTAGCTCAATCTTTAGTATTCAACCTAATATATCTCTATTTTTAAGCTAACCCAAGTGGAACGAAACAGTAACAATCGCCTGACATTCCTCAAGATTGGGCGACATTGTGGTTGGTATGTCACTGCGCTCTATATTGGAATCAAAGTAAGTTCTAGTTCCTAAACATTTTACACCATATTGCTATTATAATTCTACTAAAAGTAAAAAAATAAAATTATAGATAACTAGTAAGTTGTTCAAATAATTCTGTGCCCCTTTAAAAGCAAATTTATTATGTTATAAGGCACAGAATTATTTGAACAATTTAATATACCTTTTAAATTTTCCTTAACTTATTTAAATTTTAAATGGATGACTGAACGACGGTCGTATTTTACTCATAAGTTGCAACAATAATACCTGTTGTACAAGTATCACACTGTCAAAAAAAATTAAATTTAAAAAATTTCCAGATACTATACTCACTGAACGTGCTGTTGCAATTTTTTCTGCTCAATCATTTACTCGGCTCAAACGATTTGGCATATGGCTTCTCGTTGCTCACGGATCTGGTGGGAGGGAAGGATTGGGAGGAGACGGGAATGTTCCCTCGGGTCACGTTATGCGACTTTGAGGTAATTTTTTAACCAGATCTATCAACGTAAACTAAAACGACATTTTTTATCATTGTATCATAATAAATGTCATCCTTTATCAATGTCACACTAAGAATGACATTTCCAGGTACGAGTCCTCGGCAACATCCACCGCCACACAGTCCAATGCGTGTTGATGATCAACATGTTCAATGAGAAGATCTTCCTCTTCCTATGGTTCTGGTTCCTACTCATCGGTGCCATTACCGTATTCAACTCCTTCTACTGGGTGGGGATCATGTTTTTGCCGAACCAAGGCGAAGCATTCATCCGCAAATACCTCAGAGTACTCAGTGAACATCCGGGCAAGCCGATCACGGATGACTCGTCACTGTCCAAGTTCACGAATAATGTGCTACGAAAGGATGGGGTGTTCATGTTGAGGATGATATCGACGCATGCTGGAGAGCTGATGAGTAGTGAGCTGATATTGGCGTTGTGGCAGGACTATAACAACATGGATCGATCGCCGAACCAGTTCTGGGATGCTGAGCATGGGGAGGCGTAGCAATCGATGTAGCTGGTGTATAGGGTTATACCTCTTCTTTATTGCCATATAGGGCCTTGTTATCATCCTAAAACTTTACTAATACCTTTAGGACGCTAACACGTCATTTAGTACCATAACTTTGGCTAAGAAGCTATAGAAGGCTCTATATAAACAACCGCCTATACGTCTCAGTCTTCCTTAATGTACAGTAATGATTCGTACGTTCACATGACACATATACTTTAGTATGGCATGTCGTCTTGCTAAGTTTGGGTGCTTTAAAAACTGCCTATGTTACTTACAAAATTAGGTACAGTATTCCACTGCGTTACTTCACTGTATTTCCGGTTCTTTGCAGTATGTTGTCTGGTGGTACTAAAATTTTTATGCTGTCTACTATCTAATCTGGGGTTACTGTACGTTCTGATGTGTAGATACTGTATTACAGGGCTTTCTACTGCCTTATTGTGTAACAGTACCGTCATTCCTAGATTATTCTAGTAAAATACATCACGACCAAGTACACAACCGTCTGTATTAAACAATACGAGCACAAAGTCTTCAGTACTAATCTATAGTATCACGAACTCATCAGTACTAACTTATAGTACCTCTTTCCATCTAATGGAGATGTACTGTAAGTTTAAGAGGGTCTTACATCAAGCTACAATACTCTAACTTCCAAACTCAGTCTCCAACAGTTACAGTAATCTTTCCTTATCAAACTAGGGCCAAATTGAACCCGAATACAAAAAGAAAAGCCTATTACTCAGTTCTCTGCCATTGCACGTTCCGTTCTCTTACTACTCGTTTTATTAAATTACTACCAAAATATCCTCTGCTGACAATCGGGGTCTCTCTTATGTATATGTATACTTTTACCATGTTCATTTACATTTATTTTTCAATTATGTACAACTTTTTGTGGTCTGCCATTTTTAACCCAAATTGAGCGTAATATCGATATTATCTGAACTTTTGAATTTCAGGAAAATTTATTGATCCTCAACTTTTAGTTTGTGCTCTCTACTATTATATTCTTTGTTTTTTGGTATATTGTGATGAACATTTTCGGTTGTTCAAATAATTCTGAGCTACTTCTCAAAGCAAATTTATAGGGCTAGGAGCTCAAGATTTATTGAACAACGTATATTTTACCAGAAAATTTTGTTTTTGAAAAGTCAAAAAAAGTTAACGTATTTTACATTGTACCAAAATCAAAATTTTTAACTTAACTGGTATTTTTTAGTGTTTAAAACTGCACGGTGCCACTTCCATTTCTCGAATTTATAAAATTGCACGGTGCAGGCATTAAAAGTGCTGAAAAAGTAAATTTTTTTTCAAATTTTTTCAAAAATTCAAAAAAAATATTCCTCGCAACATACCAAGCCAAGGCAAAGCTATTTTGCCATAAATCCTTTTAGACTATACCTAAATTTATAGCAAAATACCTTTCCCTTGGCCATTTCCTCTTATAATATTGTATATTTCTGCCGCTTCTCACAATTACTGCGTATGTTACAATAAATGCTTTGTTACATTCTCTTTTTCACAACACCTTCAACCCCAGTGATTATATTATCCTAGTCTTTAAGTTAATTCCATTGACATTACCCAAAAAGCTTTCAAACCAGTTTTCGTGAAGCTTTACCTTTCGTTTGAATATTATTGAATATAAATAAAGTTTTTATGAAAAAGTGGTGGAATTGTGGTTGACAAATGAAGGTCGAATATTATGAGACAATATACTTCTTAAAATTGTCAAGTTTCAGTGGCAAAACAGTCAGATGAACTTTAACAGCTTGATGTCTACCATAAAATTAACTCAACATCCTGATCTTATCACAATAAAGCATTTAAAAACTATAAAATGTAGGTGAACTTATACTTCTTCGTTACAAATCAAAAATAACACATTTTACAACACAAAAACGTAAGAAAAATTAAAGAACGTTAAATATGCTACCTAAAAAACTAAAATATGGTAAGTTATAGAAAATACCATCAATGTCAAGGTAAAAACAGAAAAACACATTCAAAAGTTCTTGTGCAACGTTCTTGTTCAATAACAACACAATTGTGCTCAAAACATCCACAACATAAAACAAAATGCCACATATTTGGCTACCAAACGTTTTCGTTGTGGAACTAAACAAAATATCCATTTTTACATCAGAAAAAGTTTAAATTGCCTGATAAGTTATTTATTGAATAAATTAAACTACTATGCTATATATTTCGACAAATTCTATTGATAAGACAATCTTTGCGACTTCTTGACGCCGAAGTAGAACAAGACTCCAGATGAAGCCAAAGTCAACATGTTAACGGCCACAATCGAAGTGAAACCCCAGTTAGACATGCAGAGTAGGTTCTAAAGTGTTTTTAAAGTATTTTAAGTTGTATTTTGATATGGCAAGCTTAGTAGAAATTAGGGAAAAAAAGGTTTTGGATGATTAACTTTGATATTACACTTACATCAACGATTTCCAAGGTGTTTGGAGCCTTCATCAAGTCTTTGGGGTTTAGGAACTCGTTGGAAATGCCTGAAAGTAATACTGTTTTAGATATTTTTGCATTATTTCCGTTTTTTGAAGGTTTAAAATTGCAAAAAATGTATTTGAACGTCAAAAAACGACGTTTTCTACGTACCATTTTGGGTTCCGACCTTGGTTTCGGTCACATTACTGGCTCTTTTACGTCTTGGTGGGTCTGGGCAGTTTGGAATCTGAAAATTTATAAATAAAGGAGACTGTAATAAACAAATTTTCAAAAAAAAACTTTTAAAAGTTGAAAGTTTGATTGATTTTCAAAAAATTTTAAATGTGAAAAAAAATATTGACATTCTTTACACTTTCCCCCTCTTGCACTGTTGATAGAATAAAACAAAAAAAAATATGAGAATTGTAAAATACGTAGTGTTTAAAGTCTGTTCAAAAAAGGGCTCTAATGACAACTTACATCACAAAACTCTTGTCCAGGCTCCTTAACAGTTAATGCAATTTTACAGTCAAAGAATAGGTTTGGTCGGTCAGCATATTTGTAGACGTGGGCCTCTTTTCCAACCATCAGGTCAGTTACATAGTCCAAGTTGGACAACAAGAACTTGTCTTTGGCACATCTGAAATATTTTGAAAATTAAAATTTTTAAAAAATTTTTTTGAAATTTGTTAATTTCAACTTTTTTTTATTCATACAGCTTTAAAATAAGGTTTGTTTTACACTTTTTGCAAGAAATCTTTCGTTGCGGGATTTAAGCTGGGCCCCTGATGCCTTTTGTATGGACCGGCCCAGGGGCACAAATGTTCTAGCCCGGAACCGGCCTACTGGCCCGTTTGAAGCCTACAGTAACCTCAAACTCCAAAAATGTAAAAACTTACCCCTGACTATCAATCAGCTCCACCTGATCACCATTGCCATCATCAACCTTGCACGAGTGAACCACCATACAGAATTGGTTTTCAGTTTGCGATTCACAAGTCCACTTATGGTACACCATCTGTCCCACTTTGGCGAATTGTACTGGTGGTCCAGTTGGACTGCCATCCAGCACTTCGTACTTACACACAGGTATGGGTACGGTTTGGGTTTGCATTGGGGCTGGTGGCATATCGATGAGAAGCTCTTTCTCCAGAGAGCAATGACGTTCCATGTAGAAGCATTGTACATTGTAGACACGGTCGTACTTGGTCAAGTACTCGGGCTGGAAGGCGACGATGATCTGGGTACCGAGGAAGATGCCACGGGGGTTTGACTAGAAATTAGCGGGTGTTTTATGGATTTATGAGATTTTTAATGGAGGTTTTTGAATGTTTAGACTTATTTTTGAAGTTTTGGGTTTAGATACCGTTTATATCTAAAATACTCAGTTTTCGGTCAATTTTTAGTGTTTTCAACATGGAAATCATCAAATCTTAATTATAAATCACCTTTAAATCTTCATTCTTCCTTCAAATTTTCACTTTGCTTTGAATTCTTAAACTTTGGAAGATCACCCACCCTACCACAACATCGCAGCATCAAATTTAATCCGCAAATAATTCGAAAAAACGAGGAAGCATCGCTGTGCGACGTCATCGTGCGCGTGATCCAAAATAAGTTTTTACTATTTGTGGACGATGAAGGTAAACACATGTGCGCGTCGTATTTCAAGCAAAAGTAAATACGACCGGTAAATGTGTGCGCATCAGCGGGTGTTCGTTTTTGACGTAGTTATTGAGATAATGAAGATTCAGCGTGAATTCAGATGGACACACACATTTTGTTTATGTAGCATGAAAGCGGGGAAAAAACATTTTGTGATGGGTACAAAAGCGAGCTACTGCACGGTTATTTGACGCAGTAACACAAATGTTTTGGGGTATTAGGTTTTGAGTTTGTTTTGGTTTTGAAAATTCAAAAAGTTAAAAAAAAATTTTAATTAAAAAAATGTTTTTTAACTTCTGGTTACTATGGTATGTTATAGTACTATATATTCATTCCTAGTCTACTATAAACTTGGTCTGCCCAAAATTTATTAAAAAATAATATTTTTTGTTTTGGCTCAATTGTAGGTATACCTAACATTTTTAATCATTACAACATTTTTTTAGACCTATAACAAAAAATTTCTTATTTATTATCATCCAGAGACTCTACTGCTCTACCCTTAAAGATTTTAAACCGTCATCTACAATAATACTCGAGTTATAACTTAAAAACCACTCCCTAAGCATCAAATCTTGCAGATGTTGCACTACAGAACCCTAATAGCCTTAAGTGTATGCGCGTTGATGGCGTCGGCCCAGGACTGGGGAGGCATGGGCGGTGGAGATATGGGCGGTGGTGATATGGGAGGCATGGGCGGTGGTGGCGACATGGGCGGTGGCGGTGACATGGGTTACGGTGGTGGTATGGGTGGTGGAGACATGAACGGTGGTGATATGGGCGGTTATGGTGGTGGTAAGTTTTTGGGGGATTTTTAAAGAGTGTGATATTTTTAAATAGGTATTATAAGAAAGAATGGCAGTTGGATACTTTTTGAAAATTTTAATTTTTTGGAAATCTGCACCGTGCAAATTGAATTAAACATTGATTGCACGGTGCAGTTTTAATTACTTAAAGTAATGCTTTAGGCAAAAAAATAGTGTTGAAAAAAAGCAAGAAAAACCCATTGACGTATTTTACCAAATTTTTCAAAAAACATATTTTGTAGGCTACGGTGCCGGAAACGGTCAAATGGGAGGCAACTACGGCGGTTTCCCACAGGGCGGACCTGGATTCCCTCAACAGCAGTAAAGAAACCTGAATGCCGCTCAAAAAATATTCATTTAGAGTGAGTTTTTACTTCCGTTTTATCTGATTTTAAAATTTTTGAAAAATCGAAATTTCAAAAAATAATTTAATTTCAAACTTTTAAAATTAAAAATAAGAAATTAAAAGTTTTAGGAAACGCAAACTAATAAGAAACAACATTATTACTATAAGAAAAGTCAACTATTACCTACAATGACATAAATTGGTAGTAAAACATCCTATAAAACTATTTTAACATAGTATGTGGTAATGGGATGTATATACTATGTTCTACAATAATAATGGTTCGGTCACCGTATTTTACAACAAATACCTTAACATCTACACCTTCAACAATACCGATATAAAAATGTCAACTATACCAACTATCACATGCTATCTTAATACCGTATATGAGTGGGAGAGAGCTAAGCTACCAATATATAAGGTCACTACAGATACACCTAGATCCGTAATGTATGATGCTACAATACCACATCACAACGACATCTTACATCAACACAACCTACTATAGTGTCACCGTCCCGAAAACCTATATTAAAGTAGATCATAAAGAACTATTCCGTCTACTAACCCTCCCCCCCCCAACCATAACATCCCAACATATCATCATGATAAAGCGCAGAGAACCCGAGGTTCAAATCTGCAGCGTACTGTAACATGCTGCAGATCTCCTAACTTATTTAATATAAATAACTCTTAATTATTTATATTTATGTATAATATCTAACCGTCGTATTTGAACCATATTTAGAAATTTTAGCAAATAAATAGTTCATGCTGATTAATTTTGGCATTTTTTTGTAAATTTAGGTATATTTTTTTAAATTTTTATGCAATTTTTGAGATTTTGGTCCCATTTCCTATTTCTACCCAATTTTCCAAAAAACAAGCCAATGTCAAGCTAAATCAACTTACTGATCTCCTTCTCTCAAGTCCGCAATCCTTAAAGTTCAAGCTGATTGAAGCGTTTCTGAAGCCATCAGACTCAGCATCAATTGGAGCTGATCGGCATTCTGGCCATTCTAATTGATCTTTGACGAAAACTACACCTTTGAATGGGTTGCGGGTATCAAAACGAACATCAATGCCATTTGGACCACAACTCACATACGGATCACCAAGGATTCCGTTTTCAGCTGCTCCAGTGGCTAGCTGAAATGATATGTTAATAGTGATAAACAAATTTACCCAACGTATTTTACATTTTAATTTCAAAAAGATTACTATTATAGTCACAGTAATCTTTTTAAGAAATTTTTTTTCGGTATTTTACGTGTAAAACAGTGTTAAAAAACGACAAAACTTTTTTGCAGCTTTAACATAATTAGAACTTGATGTTCGATGACAAGCTCTTGCCCGTATTTTAAACCTAAGAAACCAAAATTCCATAAAAAAGCTTTATATTTCGTTTTTCAAATAATTCTGCGCCCCCTAACCCCAAAAATATCCTGTGCCGCCTTTGAGAGTAAGCACAGAATAATTTAAACAACCTGTTAACTCAAGCAACAATATAATTTACCTGTCCAATGCCCAGCAGCACACCCAGAATCAGAAGACGTCTCATCGTCCTCAAAAACAATGAAGCGTTCGCTTATTCAACGCCTAATAATAGGCTTAATTCGACCGCAGTGTTTCCACGCCCGAACGCCTTTGACGGAATTCGTTGATTGTGGCACTGATTTCCCTCGGATTTTCACTTTTTTCTCCACTTTCGAAAGTGAAATTCGGATATGCTCAACTGATACCATCTTCATCCGCAAACTCGGCGACAATATTTGAATAAAAAACGCCTCCGGAATGTAATCGAAGAGGGGGAATGTAAAAGCAATAAATAATATTATTCATGGATAATATAACAAAAAACTGTCGTTATAAAAAAGTTTTACTATCATAAGGTAATATGATGGTTTCTTTTCATTTTATTTCCTCTTTTAAAAACTGTCAGAAAGGTTATATGGCATCAAAATCAAAAATTAAAATATCAATAAAAAGCCACAGTAACTATAAAAATATAAAAAATATTCGCCTAAGCACGTATTTTACCACAAAAAAATATGTAATTTACAGAATTCTGTTCTTTTTCCTAAAATAAACCGTTATACTGACGCATTTTCTGGGAAAAATGACGAATTTTTAAAAATTTTCTTGTTATTATTATATTCTTTGGCAAATTTCGATTGAATGTTGCTGAATTATGTAAAAGCAACAACTTGGCTCTAAGATTTGTAACTTACGAATTAATTTCTTGTTATATTGAGCAAAACGGACGATCCAGTCAAGCTGAAGAAGCGTTTGTAGCTGGTAGGAGCTAGAATTCGTCAATTGAAAGGTATGTTTCTTATTTTAATGTTGTTTTAAAGCTTTTTATCTCACTATAGTTACGCTGGATGTTTTTAAAATTAAACTGTGGTTAGTTTAAGCTTTTTTTTTATGATTTTCACGTATTATTGATTGACAATGTTGTATAATGTAATAATATTGTTTTTTAGAAAAAGTGAACGATGTCAAGGAAATTCCTGATAATGGTGTCTTCAACGATTAGTGTTTCAGCAATTTCAAGATTAATCCAGGAGGAGAAACGTTTTTTTGTAAGTAAATTTATCTTTTTTTATTGATTTTAGGTAACAAACGAAACGAGGTCTAGGATTCTTCAGGAATTACATCTTTATTAGCTTTATTAGATAATACTAAGTTAGCAGGACGACTCATTTTTTCTTAATATGAGGTAAAAACGTCTAATGATGAGGAGTTTAAGTAACAAAAGCCATTTTGGCTCAAAAATGTGTTCTGAGGGAGCTAAAGCATTTCTTTTCAACGTTTAACACGCACTTCTTTAATCAATATCAACTTAATGTCACTTCAATAACACATTAACGAGAAACAAGCTAACTTGATAATGGTTATGGCTAATCCTGTTGTTCTCCACCACGCGATAGGTACGTTTAGAACGACGTTTACTACACGATAGGTATGTTAAGAATGAGTTTTACTACGCGATAGGTATGTTGAGACTAATTAGGAATTACCGCCCTATTAAAACACGAATAATAAAAGTGGAAAAACCCGAAAAGATCTTCCCCCTTTCACCTCGACCCGTGCCCCACTGTAAAGGTCGACTATCAACCGATTGTAGCTTATTTTTCGAGCGGCGGAATCTTATTTTCTTTTTGTTTTTTTTCGAATTGCAATTGTTTAGGAATTAACAGATTATTGGGGGGTTAAGATGATGATATTTTAGGTAATATGTCGGATATGATATTGTACTATACTTTTCGCATATTTCTGAGTATTGGTTATGATTTGGTATTAAATTTGAGAGTTATTTTTTGGTTCTTATATTACTGTTTTTGTTGCATTATCTTTGTTTTTTAATTTGGGCGGGTAGAGCATGATAAGTTAGAGTGTAGGGTAGGATAAAGGCAGGATATGATATGGTAGGGTAGGTTAAGGTAAGGTAGGGTAGAGTACAGTGGGGTAGGATAGGACAAAGACTTATTTACTATCCCAAGCATGTGCTTTACTTTTAAAAGTTACTGACAAACACAATATTTTGGTGTTTTTTTTGTAAAAAATATTTTGTTGTTTATGCGATTTAATTTGATTAAAATGAACTGTAAATTCGGAAAACTGTTACAAAACTGAAATTCTTATGAACTTTTAAAGAGGCATGTCAATAGTAAATAAAGTAAGTTGTTTATGATAAAGAAGTGATTTTAGGTTTTATTTTAGGGGTCGTATTATAGGTAGCAGTAAGAAGGTAGGGGGGCAGGACTGTGCTGATTGCGAGGGGAGGGAGAAAGAGCGGTACCACTTTGCTTCACTGTGTCCTAATGAACTCTAGGTTGCCCTACCCTACTTTACTATATTCATTCCTACTTCAAATTACCATATTCTGCCTTGCTCTTCCATAGCCTAACATTCTGCCTTTACCTACCCTACTTTATCCTATTTTACCCTAACTTACTACTTACTCTACCCTACCCTGTGATGTAACCTTTACCAATTTATTCAAAAATTTTTTTATTTGCCCACAAAACCCCATAACCATGCCCAGAAAGTAGCGCATGATTCCTGTTTGCCCTTAAAATGACTCATCCTTAAATAAACTTTTATATTGTTAACAAGTTACACAAACTACCAAACACAACCGAAAAACAATGGCTTCGGAACGGTCTTCTGAAGTGTGTGGGTGGGTTCACAAACAAGGTTACAACTTTTGTAAATTCAGCAAACTCCTAAGATGATCTAATTGAGTGGGTTTCGTGCGGAATTTTGTGTGATTTACTTTGATGAGCTGCAAAAGTTTTTGGACTTTTTCGGTTTCTTGAGCGAGTTTGGGCCTTTGATGGAATTTTTTCAAAAAAGGTATTATTTGTTTTGTGAATTTAATTTTTTGAATGTCATTTTAGTTTCTTCGGTAAGGGGCGGATTATATTAGGTTGTTCAAATAATTTTGTGCTCCTTCCTAAACAAATTTTCGTAGTTGGGAGGTACAGAGCTAATACTTTTTATCACCTCTTGACCACACTTGTCAAAGCGCTTTGTCTGATCTAGGATGATCTTTAAATATCAATCTACAATGAAACCCCTTTACTACGTAACTTCATAGTATGGCACGCTCTTTATAAGAACAGCTTTTTGACTGCCCGTTGTAATAGAACTTCTATCAAAAATTACCTGGATAGTTTGATACTCTGGTGATAATAGCGCGTTAGTTTATTGGCGTGAGTGTCATACTAAAGAGAAGTTGACTGTAATTAGCTTAGGACGTTTTTCATGAAACTTATTTTTAAACCATAGTGGAACTGCTGTATAATGAACTCCTCTATGACGAAAACCTCGTATAAAGAAAAATTTTTGAATCTTCGGCGATCGTTACCCAATGCTTCTAAAACTCCTGTATACCGAAACTCTTTTGTAACGAAAAATTCAAAAAAATCCCGGAGGGATTTGTTATACAAGAGTTTCACTGTAATTTCCAGGTCTTTTACTATAAATACTTTTTTATAATTCTCATTTTAAGAATTCTTGTTGTGCTACATTTTTGCTACGTGAGACTGTTTTTTCTTATTATTCTGGTTACCTTGACCTCTTTTTTTTATTACGAGATTTTGCAAACTTTTTTACAAAAAATATGAACTAGGATAACATTTCTTTTTAAAATGTTATGGTCAAAATTTGGGTAGTTAAGCTTTTTTTCTTGTACATATAGCTTTTTTTAAATTTTTTTTCAACGTGCTATATATTATTCAAAATGAAAATATTATAAAGTGGTTTTTTATAAATTAGTTTTTACTTTTATGTTATAAAATAAAGTAAAAACTATCTACTTTGCACTTTGTTACTAATACCTATACATTAATGACTAAATAACGTCAGATTTACTTATAAGCGGCTTGAAATGTGTTATCGTTAACAGCTCATTCTTCAGAATAGTGGGTTCTTTAGGGACATCATTATGACACATGGGTCTTTGTTGTATAAAAGGAAAGGGCATTACTTTGTATTTTTGACGGTTTTGTCACATAGTTTGTACTTTATTACCATCTTTACACACTCAAATTTCGTTTCGGCTCTGGGAGGAGGGGTGAATGTACTTCCATTTGTTATAATGATTGTAAGAAGAGGTTACGACTTAAGCTGGGCCAATTTTTTTGTAAAAGAGCCGGGCGTGGCGGTCCAGTGCGTCTTAATTTTGCTCAAGCTCGACTTGGCTTGGTTACCAGTGCTAGGTTAGACTATAACCTTAAAATTCTTAATAAACCAAACCTTTATATCTATTTTGAGATATAGTCTTTTTCAGCTAGTCTTCCTAGGTAGTCTGTTGACAAAAGTGAAATTTACAGTCTGTAAGCGCTGCCCCATAATTAACAATAAATAACGTTCAACTCGAGAGCAATTTATCAATCTCGCCACCAAATAAAATCTGCTTCTTGGTTGAGAACCGTGAACGGAATATGTTTACTTGTAATTCTCTGCTTTAAACTTTCAACAAAAACCTTTAGGGATGGGTTTTATGGGTTGTAAAATACGCATGTTAGTGCTTCGTGTTGAAAATTAAAGTTTTTATTTTTAAAAAATTTTATTTATTTTTTATAAATACGGAAAGTGGTTTTATTCAAATATTTTAGTATGTAAAATACGCGCGGTGCAGATTTGTGATGTTTAAACAATAAAATTTTTTTAAAATTAAATTTTAGAAAAATTCTATTTTCAGCAATGACATTACACAGGATATGGACGTTTCACGTGTTGTTATGTATATTTTTGTTATTTATGGTTTATATATCAGCAGCACCTTCGCATAATCTACAGTGTTATCACGGTAAAAAGAATCGAGATGGAGATTGTGAATGCGAACCAGAATTTGCTGGTCAATTGTGCGAACGGAAGAAACATTGTGCTGGGTTTGAACGGCATTTTAATTACAGGTGGGTTATTTTTGGTTGATTCTTAATTTTAGAGAGGTACATTTTGTTGTTGGATCTTACGTGACTTTTACTTACCGTACCCTAATTCATACTACTTTACCTTTCTCTAACCGGCTTTTGTCCAATTTATTATACCCTACCTTACTTCAACTTATTTTACTCTACACTACTTTATAACATACCTTACACCACCGCGCCCTGCTCTATCTTACTTTCTTAATCATATCTTTTATACACTATCTTATTCTACTCGAGTCGCTTTTTCTCTACTTTACCTTACTCTACGCTATCCTACCTTACGCAATCTTACCCTATTCTACCTTACATCACCTTATCTTACTCTATCATACTCTAAGATAATAAGTTCACCCTATTCTAACCTTTTCTTATCATTTCAATTTTTTTTATAAACTAACCTAATTTTAGTTGTATAACATGTGAAACCGGGTGGACGGGTCAAGAATGTGACTTTATTGACTGTGGAACGCATGGTATCCCAACCAGTGCTATAGAATGTCAATGTACAGCTCCATACTCGGGCCCGATTTGTGATAAACTAAAAACAACTGATGTGTATCTATATTACAATTCTAAAATATATTCGATGGGACCAATTGGAGTACTATCCATCGTACCAATGATCATTATTTTGTTAGGATGTAAACATTTGGCGGAGAAACGACAGGTAAACTCATTATTTGTTTGATCGTGGATCGTATTTTACAAAAAAAAACGGTTTTTAAATTGACAACATTTGATACAATTTGTTCACTATAGTTTAGTACAAGATACTACTGGCTTTGCCGTGTTTAAAAAGTTGTATTTTAGGTATACCGAGTGACCAAAGCACTAAAGAAAGACCATGACATAGAGCCATCTCAAGTTCGCAGTTTCCTCAAGGGATATTGATATTTGTAAAAGTTTGTCCAGTTTTAGTGATCAGTTAGTATTTATCGTTTGATCGTGTAAAGATAATAAGAAACGTATATTAAATATACTATAATATGGCTTGGAATGATTTTTTGAAATTTTCCGTTGATTATCAGGATATTTTGAATCATATGGGTATTTTTTATTTTCATTTGTGGTAAGGTGCGGCATAGACTAGAACAGAGGCCCGACCATGAGCCGGGCTTTTACTGCGCCGAAGCCAATTTGAAAGGGTCTCGGCACATGCGGGCCCATCCCAAAGGCTCCAGGAGCCAGCTTAGGTCCCGCAACGAAAGATTTTATTTGTGAAGGTGTAAACAAGTGTGATGAAAACATTTGAGGTATTAGGCCGTGCCGGTTTACAGATCTAGTGTGGCACAAATTGTAAATTTAATAGGGTAAAAACTATGTTTAGGTTCGAAAAGAAAGGGCAGTCGGCTCGGACAAAAATTTTTAAGGCCAGAGTATTAGTCTTGATTTTTGACCAGATGCTACCTAATCCAAATTTAAAAAAATAACGCTTTTTTGTTTTATAATTTGAAAAATACAGTAAAAATGATATTGAACTAGTGAAAACAAAATAAAGCTTTATAAAGCCAACTGCACCTTGTAATAACCCAACTTTTAATCACACTGCGCAATGACAAAATTTAACCTATGCTTTTTAAAATAATAAATTTAAAAGAAGAATACCGATCGTATTTTACAATGAAAAAGTGCAAAAGCGTGATTTCAACAAATCAAAAATTTAATTTTTTAATTTTTATTGGTTATAACAAAACAATTGGATTAATATCAGAATAAAATAAGAACTGGAATGACATTCAATTAGTCATGGAAATGAGATCAAGGTTCGTATTCATCCGTTAGAAACATCAGTAGACGACAAAGAAGGTAAAAGAAGAGTAGAAGTTACACCTACATCAAGAGCAGAATTTACATCTGGTAAAATATACAATAACGCCTGAAAATGACACTAACATATTAAAATAAAATCAAAAGGCTTTAGAAAAACGTCTGATATAATACAAAATGAATAACGTCTGATATACGAATACACATTACTATAATATGTACACATACATGTCTATACAATATAAAGCGAAAAAATACTTGAAAGGATAGTACTATACACTGTATCATAGATTTGTATTGTATAGTATGCAGTACAAGTCAATGTGGCTATACAGTAAAAATCAATGTAAAAATGCCTATACATCAAACAGAAATGACAATATTTTGATAAATTAAGAAAAAATAAAAAAGATTATTATACACATCGTAAAGATATGCTCTAAATACCACTTTAAAGACTTACAACTTTGTAAATTTACAATTTTTTAAAAGGAAATAATGTAATAATTGCTGGAAATCATAAAAAATAATGCAATACTTACTGGAAATCCATGAAACAGCCTATAAACACCGTGTTTTTGATAGAAAAGAAAGAATAAACTGTAAAATGAATAATAAAGTAATGTTTTACAGTAAAAATGTAGACAATATACAATAATCTAAGTTCTGAAGGACCTTCACAGGCCTAATAATAGTAAGAATTTTGAATTATTTCAAATAAAATCTACAGTCAATAAAATATACTCAAGAATCGAATCGTGCAGACCCTCCAGAAGCTTAGAGTTGAAGCTCAGAAGCTTACAGTTGATACTAGATGAGTTCAAACATTTCAAACTCACCTAGTACCAACTCAAAGACCAAAAACAACACATACAATACCATAATATCAAATAAACAATCTCTAACCATTAAAAATCTAATCGCTTTGCTCCGGCTCTCCATCGTACGCATTGCTACTGGCTGACCGTGCTCTCATTGGTATAAAAAATGTGTCGTTGCCGTCTTGTTCCGAATCCGACGAGATTGGAGGCCAGTAGTGATAAGCAGCCGGTCCGGAATTGATGGACTTGGTTGAGCCCATCGAGTGACGATTCTGATTATATTTCTGTTTCATACCTGTTCCCATCGTGTGTCGGCGGAGTAATGAGGTTAGAGATCCGCTTTGGGCTCTGAAATGCTATTTTCATTAATATATTGTTACCTAAAATAGTTTTTTTGGATTTTTAATGCTTAGCCTTAGTTTGGTTACCTAAATGTTCGGTTTTAGTAAAGTTTTGTGACTTAAAATATTTTTTTACCATTTTTTTCAATCAAATTTTCAAAAAAAAACGGAAAATATTACCTAAACTTAAAAAACCCAAAAATGTTACCTAAATTCCAAAAAAACCATAATTTATTACCTAAACTTCTGAAAAACCTACAATTCCGCGTTTAGTTGTGAAGAACGGCCGTCGAAAAGCGACGCGCGAGACGGGCGATTCGCGTTGAGCGACGATCGCGCTTCTTTATCGCCGGTGTTGTTGTTGTTGTGGCGGGCTTGTTGTTGTTGGTCTTGGCGGCGGATCGGCGAGCAGCAGGCGTCTCGTTTCCTGAAACCAGCCACCTATAAAGACGAGTCAAATTCAAATGTTTTGGGAGGTGAAACTTTAAATTTCGGATGGAATTTTGACTTTTTTTTAAATTTATTACCTAAAATTGTAAATTTTCTTTCAATTTTCAAAATTTATTACCTAAAAGGCTGTTACAAACTTACTTGACGTTATATTCAGGATGATTCGAATCCTCAGTCAAGCTCAATCCCGAATCCTCTCCATTAATCGGGCTTTTCGAAGATTCTGGCACCTCTTCCAAGCTCTCCATCTCCATCGTCGGCTCAATATCATCTTCATCATGTCCACCTATAAACCGTAGATCTTCTTCTTCCTCCACAACTGGTGGCTGTGAGTTCTGATGTGTTCTTCGTTGTCCGGCCGATGACATTTGTTTTGGATTTGATGGTGGTGGTCGAGAATTGGTGCTGTTTCGGCGGCTACAGCTACCGTGACACGGGCGTTGCAGGTCCGGGTTGTTTACGTCGTAGATTTGGCAAACTTGGACCTGGTTCTTCTCGTCCATGTAGTGATAGGCGAGAACTGCGTCGTGTTCATTGCTGTAGCGAACGAGTTCGTCGGCCGAGCCTTCGTCGTAGAGTTCACCTTCACGGTTTTCTAACTGAAATTTAAAAGGAATTAATCATTGTTAGTTGACAAAAATCTCGTTTTAATACCTAAAGCTCTATTTTCATACACAAAATCTAGAAAATCCCTATTAATCCCTAAACACCCCAAACCAACTTACTGCAGCATAAGCATTAGGGACTTTAGAAGGTCTTCTACTAGGTAGCGAAGATTGTCGCCTTTCGACTTCAGCCAATCCGATACGATAGCTTGGTGGAGATTTGATACTTGAGGATGATTGAGCTGCATCCAGAATGCTTTGTACCAGCTCTACTGTAGCTTGTAGGCGTTGAGTAAAGTAATCGACTGCACTCTTTGGGTAAATCCAAGATTGCACTCTAAAACAATATTAATTAGCTCAGAAATGGTTTTTTAAATTAAAAATTAATTTTTCAAATTCCAAAATTTTAATCCTTACGTTTTAGCCGTATACATAGCCAACTCAAAAGGTAGTATAGCTGGTGCCATTAGTCGCCTCGAGTATCTGTATATTCTAAACGAGTTCAAGTAGGTAAACAGTCTACTCTCGGCCTTCTTCGCTTCTCCAAACGCTGTCTGTAGCACACTTGGAAAGAGTGCAGTAGCATCTTCCGGGTAGAACTCGCTCTCGTAACACTTTTCACATTCTGACGCCAGTCGTAGTCGTGATGGATTCGATACGATGGACGCTGTTCGTACTCTTGAAGACATAAAGCTGTTCTTATATTCAGGTATCGGCAACACATTACTCTGGATTGTTAAGCATCGCACGCATGGTGCTAGGCCCTTCTTTGTTAGTAGTACTAGAGCGTCTTGGAAGCCTTGACGACAGATATTGGAACAGATGTCTAGTGATGGAGGAAAGAAGCAGGTGATCATTCTGAACAGATTTCCTGTTGTCATTCTGATATTGGTGTTGCTGAAGTCGATACCCAATAATGAAGCTGAGTCTCGGTCTGATGGGCAGATATCATGTTCACCAGCAAAAGGAGATACTGTTAGAGTATATTCATCGCCAATTGGTTGGTTGTTGCTTAACCCTCCATCCACGTACTCAACTCCTCTGAACTTTGGTGGTCGCACTCCGGAAATGATTGGAATAAAGCTGGAACATACGATGGCTTGGATCAACTCGTCTCTGGTCGCATACTCTGATACCATCACATTCTTATAGTCGGATACTCTGGTCAAGCTGATGAACAATCTTCCAGTACATTGAACATGCGCATCTGGAGGCAAGTTCAGCTCCAATCCTTTTCGTACGATTCCGCTGAGATCAAAGTTTGGATTCAACGTCTTCAGCGTGCCACGTTGTGCTTCTGAAGCTGCTTGTAGCATCATACTGGTCGCTGCTGATACACAGACATTGCAAATGACTCCGGCACCAACAATAGCTCCAGCCGACGCTCCATAGACTTTGTTTTTAGATAGTTGTGGAGCATATTCTTTGATGGCAGCACAAACTCCAGCATGATATACACATAGAAAGCCACATCCAGCGAAGGAGAGGTTGATTTTTGATGGATCAGCGAATTTGGTTGGTGTTGATGAGCCTGAGAGTTTTCTACAACAATTTGGAGATTTTGGAATGTTGGGAGTGGCGTTTGGGGCTTCTTTCACTGGGGATTGTACCTAAAAGATTAGAAAGTAAGTATGATACTATGCAAAACAAAAAAATTCAATTTTTCAAAAAAAATTTTAATGCCATTTTAATCCATATGTCATAAACATCACTTTAAAAATGCAAGAACTCACCGGATCTGTTTCTTCTGTGGCATTAAGTTCGAAGCGGACACTTGGCTTACGTGGCAGACTTCCACCGTTCTCTTGAATCGCCATATTACACACCCGTTTTGCCGTTGTTAAACAATATAATAGTTAATGTTATTAAAAATATGTACAGTCTGAAAAAAGGTTTTAATTAGAATTGGCATTTTAAAGGCAAAATAGTTTAAAATCACGGTGAAATCGACACGATAACAAGTAAAAATCTACAAAATGTACAGTAAAAATCGACAACATATTACAATATATAGCCCATCAGCTCAAATCAAAGTTAACTCCCTAAATGCCATTTTTTAATTAATACGTTCAAAAATCACAACCTCACAAGTCCCAAAATACAAAGAATACTAGTTGAAACCCTTTTTATTGCCAGCCTCGTAAGCTTTTTTACAAAAAAAGTATTAAAGTTGTGAAACGGACTTTGTTCTCCTGGAAAACAGAGTCGGAGAAAGTTCAGTATCTCTCAGAATCTTAAGAATTTGACCGTCATATCACCGATGATCCGTTACCGAGACAGTAAACAAGTCATTTTCAATAAGTGTTCAAAATACTATCACTTATTTATAGTGTAAGACGTTAAATATTAGGTTTGTCACTAATATAAATCTATACAAATTTAAGTAGGTAAAGATAAAGTATTTCACAGAGGTTTTTAGGCATATTACCCTCAAGTTACGACTGAAAAATGTCAAAATACCATTATGTATTTATAGTAAATTTAATGATATGAATAATAGGGATATCCTAAGATGTGACGATGACGAAGTAACGCTATCTTTGTAACGACAAATCTATGCGACATCATTTTAGAAATATGTCATTGATACGATAACAAAAAATTCTTGTAAGTAACAGAAAATTCGAGTAAAGTCAAATCTCTTTACTATGTCCCTTAATAGTATGACATTCACTTTATAATGACAGCTGGGTTTCTTTTGTACCAAAACTGGTACCGAATAGTATGACAAAGTAACATTTTAAAAAGTAGTAAAAACGATTATTTGTATTTACAAACCAACTTCCTACAGGCTGGCACACCAAATTACAACCCAAGAAACCGTCATAAAAAGCATAAGAAGTGTGGTATAAACCGTGAAAATTTGCAGAAGCAGCAAAAACACAAAACATTGACTTCACGTGAACAAAGTGTAAAATCATCACTTCGAACATGATAAGACTACCATGTTTCAAAACAACATAGACATTAAAATCTTTGCAAAATAACAAGCTGTAAAAGCCTGCAAAACATATTAAGTTCTGTACCGTGAATAAGAGATGCATCATATCTTCACCGTGCAAAGAGAATACTAACAAAAGCTAAAATTTTAAAAATAGGTAATAATTAGACTTGTATACCGGCTTAAGTACAAATTAACTTATAAATTTATATTAAAAGTACAAATACTGTCAAAAAACCAATTGATTCTGATCAAAATTTCACAGTTTCAGCGACAAAACATGCCCATTTCAACTATTCATCGACAACAAATCCTCGTTTCGCAACCTAATTTTTGTTTTTCGTGACTCAACACACATGTCGTGTCGTGGTTTTTATCAGTTTAGCCCGAAGATTTACAACAAAACACTTGATAACCAAAGAACGATGCTTGATCGGCAAAAACACATCGAAAACACGTTCGAGATTGGGAATGAGTGAGTGGTCAATATGGCTAGTAGTTAAGCTGAGACCGAGAAAAAAACAATTTTTAAATTCAAGATAGGTAAAATACACGGTTTACTAATAAAAATTAAAATTTTGTTAACAATAATACCGTTTTTTTAACAAAACACACGCTAAAACCTTAACAAACCGCAAATTTTGGTGTTTTTAGGTAACAAAAGAGCTCAAAAATCCAAGAATAATTAACTCCACATTCCCCAGACTATTAAAACACCTGATAAATCCCATTATCCACAAATAAAACATCAAAAAAACTTGTAAAACCGTCTGATTTCGCACTTATAAACAGTCGACCGCCACGCTCACTCGAACCTTCTAATGAAGCCTTAAAGTCGACAATAAACAACCAATTAGTTACGTAACCCATCAGTTATTTTTGGAAAACCAAAGTGACAATTAGTGCTATTCCTGTCGCCTTTTACGGATTTTGTAATTTCAAGTTTTAATCGCCAAATTTGGTTTTCATGGCTTTATATGAAGGGTCTATAATTTTTAAATGTTTATATTAAGAAAAACTTTTGATTTATCGTATCACACGTGAGTATTTCTCAGTAGTTTATCATTTTTATAGGTATAGACGTGTAATACAAGTTTAAGGCGCTTTTAACACTTATATAAACAAGAAAAATGAACATTCAAGTGAACATTACAGCTTTGTTTATATAAAATGTAGTGTTTTGTGTTGAATAACATGATTGCTTTAGTAATCTTCAAACTATTTTTAGTACTAAACCTAACCCTTGATATCACAAAGCTTTTAGACAACCTAAAATACCAAAAACTTAAGAAAAACCAAGAAAAAAGTGTAACAGAATGATAACTTGCAAAATTCAGAACTACAGAGTAATCCTAAAGACCACAAAGTGCAGAAGCTCTTTAAAACAAAACCAAGCCTTTATTAAATTTATCAAATCACAAGCCATAAAGCGACGAAACCCAAAGAGAAACAAAGAATCAGCAAAATTGAAAAAAAAATCCAAGTCATTTTAAAAAACTTATCGAACCACCTGATAAACGAGAGCAATATGGAACGAATAGAATCAAAAAAAGACTTTGAAATGCTTGAAACACAAGGCTTTCCATGCGTTGAAACTAACTAACCATGTGATGAACGAGCAGGAATAACAACATAAAAAAGTTCAATTGATAGGCTATAAGCAGTGTTTTGCCGGACCGGACCGGACCCAAAAACCTGCGGACCCGGACCGAAGAAAAAGCTCCGGACCGGTCCGCAAAGAAATTTTTTTTTTTATTTTAATAGAAATGATTTAAAAATTGCAAATAGAATGTATTTTTAAGAATTTTTAAGCAAAAAGAAAGCAGTTTTAGCGCTCCTTGCTTTAAAAATAAAAAAAAATTTTGCGGACCGGACCGGACCCAGAAATTTTGGGTTTGGACCGGACCGGGCCCAAAAATTTGAGGTTTGGACCGGACCGGACCCGAAAATCGCCAGACCGGACCGGTGAAAAACGCTCCGGACCGGTCCGGGCAAAACACTGGCTATAAGTTTAATCGAAAAAAAAATAGTTTTAAAACTGTTTGAGTTTTAAGAACTAATAGGGATTCAACGTTATAAGGCTAGAAAAATTAAAAATAATGAAAAAGTTAGTACAGCACGGTGCAAACTGCCATTTTAAATACGACTCCAAAACAAAAAAAAATATTATATGCCATGAAAAGCTTTCGCTTATAATGCGTAAATCAAAATATACTTAGGTAAACCAAAACAATCTAATACTAAACCCTCCATGCCTCCCTATCCCACCCCTCCCCCAATCTTGTCGTACTCTAGCCAAAATCGAACCCCAAACACCATCCACAAAGTCAAACAATTCAGAGTTCGATAACACACATAAAAGGTCGTTTCCATCCCCTTACGCTTGTTTTAAATTGGGTTCGCATGAAGTTGTGGTCAGTTTCAAAAAATTCAGAAGGGCGGAGCCTGGCGTAGGCTTAAATCAGACCACTTTACAAATCTGTAGTAGACAGCTGATATTTTAGTTGCAAATTAGTTTGTAAACCATCAATAATTTAAAGAACGGGCGTTGAGACAATACTACAACAATAAGCAGTTTTCGAATTTTGATCTTTTAAATTATAAAAGGTACTATAACATCAACGTTACAATTTTAAAAGACAAAACTTAATCAATTTACAATAAGAGACCTTTAAAAATCACAACACGCACATCAATATCTCGCTATTCCTCACACTATCACCCGTTTTAACACCATAATTTGACATTATCATGTCTTATTTATAGACGTTTCCTTGCAAAAACGTCAAAGATAGACGCTGAATTGACAGATATTTGCAAAATAACACTTTTCCCTAAACCATAACAATGATAAAATGCTTTTTTTCTATATTAATATACTTTTTCACTAATAATTGACTTTTTTGTTTTCCCGAATTCTCGACGCCATTTCGGACTTTTGATATTGAAAAATCGCGACAAATGTTGATAAAGTAGGAAGACGTGTAAAAACCGTTCCTTATATTAACTGCTGTTCATAATTGAACTTTTAAGAAAAGTGGGATGCTTCTTTAATCAAAAATTGATCTTAAAGGAGCAGTTTTGGTTGATATTGAATTTACTGAAAGTAAGTCAACAAAATTCTCATTTCTTGGTTTAGTTTTAGCAAAACAAAAAAGATTTTTAAACACAAAACTTCACAAAGCCTAAACTACCTTATTTTAGCAATTAAAATTCTAAAAACATTATTTTAGGTATCAAAAACCTTAAAAGTACAGAACCTCCCCTCTAACCTTCTAAATCCTTCCCAAAAACCACTTAACTATTTAAAAACAAGCTAATATCATTAAACTTCATTCCTTCCCGTCGCAAGTACACATTGAGATCTAAAATAGAGACAAAAAACAAAAAACAAACCAACCTTCCACTACTCTTCCCGAGTTTCCTATTCAATTAGACAAGTCGAGCTTGTAGCTTTTGAAAGAAACAATTTTTTACAACAGAATCAAGTAAATTACTACGTCAGTTACACAAAATTCGATAGAAACACTTGATTTCGTAAAACAATAAAAAAATAACACGCGATAATTTTATTTCCGACGAAAAGCCACAAAGTTATTGGAAAAGACGGAGTACCATGAATAATATCGGAAAAGACGGTTTTTTGAATTTTGCGACGGAAATGAGAATGGTGTGATTCGCGCACATGAAGAATATGTGAAAAGTGGACTGATTAAAGACGCTTAAAGCTTGAAAAATGCGAATTTTAATGGTTGTTTTAGGGAATTCGCGTGAGTAAGTTCTGACGTTGAAATGGGGCTGATTAGATCGTGTTTATGATTGTTTTTTGATTGGAAAAGATAGTGAAAAGGTCATTTTATGTTTGAAATTTGAAAA